TTTTCTTATAAAATTTAACACAATTCAACTCTAAATTGATGAGATTTTAATGTAACTTTTAAATATCAAAATTTATACAAAAAATAATAATAACTTAGCATATGTTGAGACTGTATTAATAATATATTTATATTAAAAATAATAATATATATTTTTAACATCTATTTAAAGGAGATAAATAAATAATAATAATTCAACAAGATTCTAGTACATATAATTAACTAAATTATAATGTATGTAGTACGCTTGAATGTGGTTTTTGTCTTGTAAGTTTTAGATACCATGACAAAAAAGGTTTAAATTAATATCAATCGTTATTACCAAATGTTGTTAGGGGTTGGAAAGACTCAGAACCGAATCGACAGCGATTTTCCTTCACTTCACAAATAAAAGAACTTTGTTATAAGAATAATTTTTTAATATTATTTTTAATACAATTTTCATATGTTATTAAATAAATTGATATGTTCAATATCATGAGTCATTTATGAATAAAAAAAATCAATTATTTAAATGATATATTAAATTGTATAAAAAATAATACAAAAAATTATCTCAAAAAATGATATAAAAAAATTGTTACAAAATTATTTTTCCAAATAAAATTAAATTTTAATTGTTTGTTAAGATTTCAGTTGTGGAATTTTATCATAAGTGCATGTATACAGCATGTAATTTTTTTTAAAAAAAAATATTTGTAAGGTCTAAAATGGTTGGTGTTTGATGATGGGGGGATATGGTTAATGTTTAGATTCGTTGGGAGTGTAGTTGGAGAAGTGGGTGGGGGAGAGAGATTCGTTGGTTTTATATGCCAATTTTTTTTTTTTCAAACTCTTTCACTTTAAGCTAGAAGCTTTGGGTTAAGTTAAAAGAAAAGAAATCAAAAAAACAAAAAAATTTTGCAGAGCCCAAAGCTCTTCCAACCCACAAAACACGTTGTGTCTAATCCTATTTTATGCCTTGAACCTTGGTCCTTTTGTCCTCTCATCTTTGCACTCTCTCCCCCTTTTTCCTTTCTCCATACTAGTTGAAACCAAATAAACCCCTCCCGAGGACAATGATCTTAGCTCTGTTCTAATATCCAGAACATCACTAATTAGTAAAATATATAGTTTCATGTGCATTCTCTAGTGAAGTGCAATGCAGCCCTCTCTCTTTTCTTCTTTCTTTCTCTATTTTGTCGTTTTAAAAATATAGTTTCATGTGCATTATCTAGTGAAGTGCAATGCAGCCCTCTCTCTTTTCTTCTTTCTTTCTCTATTTTGTCGTTTTACAAAAAACGAGAGCGACATGGAGTTTTGTTTGTTATTAACACGAATTGACCAATTGTGTCATTTTGTTATGGCTCGTGACAAATTTTGATTAAATTAATCATTTTAATTTTTTTTATCTAATTATAATTTTTGTAAAAATTTTGTTTAAGTAAATCTTTTAAAAAAACAAAAAAAAATCATAAATTTATATAAAATAATTATAATTTTTTTTTAAAAAAATTATCAAACTAGATACTTAGCAGGAAAAAAAAAAGGGGAAAAAGAAGACAAAAACCAACAGAAACAAACGTGAAACTAGTTTCAGCTTCTATTTTTAGAAGTTGAAGCAACTTTAAAAAAAAAAAAATCCACAAAATCTTTTTAAAAGATTGTGTTTTATACCCATAGTTTCAACTTTTATAACAAATAAGAACGATTTTTTTTAAAATTTGTGTCAAACAGACACATAGTCTTGTTGACGAAGAAGATGTGATAGAAAAGAGGTTCATGGGGACCTGCATTTGAAATCTAGAAGAAGAAGTATGATGAAGAGAGATATAATTACGTGAAAGGATGATTGCAAGCACTAAGACTCTGGCATCCACAGCCTGCAAATTGCCAATTTCTTTTGTCTCGTCTCCCTTTTTTTGATACAGTGTTTAAGAGAATCAATATAATATACAAATCCCTTCACTTCACACTTTTATATGACTTGAATACCTTTTTCTCATACTCACTTTAAGTTATTAGTTTAATCCCTTTATCTTGATATATTTTATTCTTCTTAGTGGTTAAAGAAGACATGTATGGAAGGAGAAATTACGTTGAATCATTAAGATAAAGTTGATACATTTATTGATAAAATTTGTATTATAATTATTACACTTTTTCATCTCGCGTTGAAGTGTCATATGGGCTTGGTAATATAAAAAAAAAAATTTAATATGTGAAAATTAACAATTGAATCCAAACATGTAACTAAAGGCCCCCAACAACTTTACTCGTATCTTTTTTTGATGCGTAATCTTTATTGACTCGAAATATACTTCAAAAGCATCCGTTAACGCGGTAGAATTTCTTCGGGGAACATTTATCATTTCATCAATTCATAAAAACACAGGCATTGATTGCTCTCCCAAACATTCTGACATAAAGTGATTAGTCGATAATTATATCTTTTCCTCTTTCAATTAAAATGGCTCTATATTTTTTTTTATTTATTGTTAAAAAAGTTTTAATTAATTTTTGTATATTTTAAAATTAATTTTTCATCTGATCATTTTAAAGAAGTATCTCTACATCAACTCAATGTATTTAAAAAAAATAATTTTCTTAAATATTGATCTTAAACTGAAATTGTAAACTTAACGTAAAAAATTATACTTATATACTAATAAATCCAACACTTAGTATTTAAAATTAAAATAGCTTTAACTTATTAATTAGAAGTTATCTTTATGTCTTTATTTTCGAAATTCCTAAATAAATTAGCCTAAATTAATTAATGTATGTGAACTTGTTTGGAATGATAACGAGTTCTCGCAATAAGTATATTCGAAGCCTTAATCAATCCTTCAACTAACCTTAACTAAATAAATATAGTAATTTTTTTTTTCTTTTTCATTTTCATATGACGCATGAAAAATAACAACCCAATTTTTTTTAAAGAAAAAATTTTAAGTGTCATTGTCATGTTTGTTTTGTTTTTTTTTATGCATCAATCAAATGAAATTGCTTTTAGATTCCCAAATGAAAATGATATAATACCATTTAATAATTTGACTGAAGAGAGAAGCAGTTCATTCAAAGTACAGTCCAGTCGCTGATTTAACGGGATCAATCCCCTCCTGTACGGGCTTTACGGGCTCGACTTTGCGTGGGCTTGAAAATGGACTCTTGTCTCACCTCTTAAGCCCACTGAACTAAACTCCAAAATAGAGCGGGCCGATTACAAGTACCGAAAGATATCAAACACAGATACAGGTTTAATTTCACCTTCCCTGTGCCCGTCTTAATTTGTGGGAATTTCAATTCATCACTGAAATTTACAAATCCTTTATCCTTACCTCTGTCTATAGTGTTGGGACAACTGCAATTGTGTGGAGGAATCGACAAAGAAGAAGACAGTTTTTCTGCTTCCAGTTTGTCATCTCAAATTCATTTTCGTCCTGTCTATTTCTTCATATTGTTTTTGGTGTGGTGGGCATATTTCCCGGGTCGCAACAGCGTAGATTATGGCTTTGTGTCCTGTTAATCTTGAGATTTCGTTAGTTTTAATTGCAAATTAGTGAAGGAAGTATAGAAATTATGACCTTTACCTTGTACTGAATTCAAGCACCCTACAAAAACCGGGTGTTTTATCCCACATTGAAGGAGAATAAGTTAACTAAGCTCTATTTATAGCTTGTCACTCTCCATTTGGGTCACGACCTTACTTGAACAGGATCTGTTCTATAGGCTCGTACCTCTGTATCCTTGAGTTCAAAGGAGACAGGATCCAAAGTCTGGTGGATGAACCAAAACCGTGTGACCAGAGCGTGATTAACAGCTATGTGATCTTCTGGGATCATAGAAGCGGTAGAGGATCGTTCTCGGCCAGGGTCTAGCCCTGTCTGGGGTGGTCACATGGTTGTCTGACAGACTCCTAACTCTTTTTCCACTTTGTTTTTCAGATTTTTTTTTTTTTTTTTGTAGGTTACATTGGTCTGTCATTCCTGGTAAGGGGAGGACGAGGAACGAATATGGAAGAACTGGGGCCGGAAGTAATGGAGGCGTTAGGGTCTTGCCACCCTTTTGGAAATGGTGAAAGTCCAAGCCCAACTCGGATATTTGCAAAGATATCCAGCCCAGAACTAATTAATGGAATTTGGAAGTTGAATTTAAAAAAAAATATAAAATATATATTTTTGTTTAATTGCATCATTATTAAGTGATCAGTAGTGTAATTAATATTACCAAACTTGAATGTCATCTTACCTTGAGCTTTGTAGAAATGTTTGACGTTTGCAAAGGAATAATACATGGAAACTTCTTATTTTCAATAATCTTTAATAGAAACTTCCAAAAGCAATAAAATGTTTAGTAATAAGATTTAGTCACATATATTCCTAAAGTTTAGCATAATGCATGTAATTAATCCCATGTTTACATTTGATTTTGGATCATCTTCACCGTCCAAAAGTCGTAAACCGCCAGCTAATTCAGAAGTCATGTACAGAAAAAAAAAAAAAAAGCTAATTGAAAAGTCAAATTAGCGGTGCTAATCACTTTAACTAAAAGGGTCTAATTGCATTGAAGATTGACACCAAAAAAAAAATTGCATTGAAGATATTTAGAATATCGTTATAAACCAAAACTTTGAAACTAAACGTGTCCTCAGTCCTCACCATCAAATAAAAGAGAAAGACTTTCTTTAATTCCTTTCATTCTCATTAAAGTCAAAACAGCCAGCAGCTATGTTTAAGAAAATGAAAACATAAGGATTGGTTATGGCATTCTTAATTTCTCCAAGTCAAA